GTCCCTTCCTGTCTCTCCTGGTCCCTTGTTGTCTCTCCTGGTCCCTTCCTGTCTCTCCTGGTCCCCTCCGTCCCCTCTTGTCTTCAGTCAGTCTGTGAGCTGCTGGACCAGCGTAGCCTGGAGTCATGGCCTCTGGTAAGAACAAGAACCAGACGTCCCTTGTCCTCCACAAGGTGATCATGGTCGGCAGCGGGGGGGTGGGGAAGTCCGCCCTCACCCTGCAGTTCATGTACGACGAGGTGAGACTCCGCCCCTTTCTCATTGACGTGGCTCGTTGGTTCGAATCCTCGTTAACGGGTTTTCTTGCGGTCGCAGTTCGTGGAGGACTACGAGCCCACCAAGGCCGACAGCTACAGGAAGAAGGTGGTGCTGGACGGCGAGGACGTTCAGATCGACATCCTGGACACGGCGGGACAGGAGGACTACGCCGCCATCAGAGACAACTACTTCCGCAGCGGAGAGGGTTTCCTGCTGCTGTTCTCCATCACGGAGCACGAGTCGTTCACCGCCACGTCGGAGTTCAGGTCTGTCTCAGGAAGAGGTCACAACACGTCCACGTGTCCACGGGTCACGTGATGTGAACAGGAAGTGTGTGTGTGTGTGTGTCAGGGAGCAGATCCTGCGGGTGAAGGAGGAGGAGGCCATCCCTCTGCTCCTGGTGGGGAACAAGTCGGACCTGGAGGAGCGGCGGCAGGTTTCTGCCGACGAGGCCACGGCGAAGGCCGGCGAGTGGGGGGTCCAGTACGTGGAGACGTCGGCTAAGACGAGAGCCAACGTGGACAAGGTAGGGACAAGTGGGACGGTTGGAGTCCTCCTTCTTCTCCTCCTTCTCCTCCTTCTTCTTCTCCTTACTGAAACATTTCTGACGAGTTAGAACTCGTCGTCTCGTCGAAGCCTCGAGGGAAACTGCATGTGTCCTCTCTTCCTCTCAGATAACTCACCCCTCTCCTCCTCCCCCTCTCCTCCTCCCCCTCTTCTCCTCCCCCTCTCCTCCCCCCCCTCTTCTCCACCTCCTCTTCTCCTCCTCTCAGGTTTTCTTTGACCTCATGCGGGAGGTTCGCAAGAAGAAAATGTCGGAGAGCAAAGACAAGAACGGTCCGAGCGGCAAGAAGAAGAAGAAGCGCTGCTGCATCCTTTAACCTGCGGTGACATCGTGCCAACAGACAGACGGTGACGCGGCAGACGGCAGCTGCACGGCGTCCCCGTGTGGACGTCAGATCTCCGACTCGTCTGCTCCTTTATTTTTACAACATAATCTCTATTTTTCTCCACATGTGTCAAATCCAAATTTAAAAAAGCGCCAGTGACTGTTCACGTTTCAGTTTCCTCCAGAGGATTCTCACTTCCTCTGTCGTGTCTGATGTTGAGTCGCTGCTTCCTCTTTCCTCCACAAACGGGCCAAAAGTATGTGGACGCATTTATTTCCAGTTTTCTCACAGTCCAGTTTTCTCCCGGAGGTTTTGAGGTCGAGGGCGGAGCAAAGCTTCCTCCTGGGAAAACGTCTCTCTGAGCTGCACGAGGACGAACGCATGAAGCCTCTGTGTGTTTAGAGAAAGTGAAGCTGTCCCAGGTCGACTCTGACCCGAGACATCGAGCAGCGATTCTGGAACAAATCACCAAAGATCGTTTTATCTTCTCTGACGACGTGTGAACGTTTTCACTCGGTTACTTTCGGCCGGCGCAGCGTTTAGAGTGTCGACGTCTCGTTTAGGAAACTAAACCAGAAAGTGGTTTAATGTTTCAACAGAATAACAGAAGACGAACCTGATGAGAAAATAAAAGCATCAATACAAATATCACAGGAGACGTGTCCACATACTTTTGGCCATGTGTGTTCTTTTCCACAAACAAACAATCAAACGACACGAAGTCACAGAAACCGTTTGTTTTTAAAACCTTGACGCAGGTCGACGGAGATAAACACGTAATAATGATATTAATGATGTTGATGATTCTGATGAAAGACATTTTGTGCCTTAACCTGTTTCCTGTCGTTTAATTATTCATCACTTTCTTCTCTCGTCCATCAGAAGCCAAAATGTTTTCTTTATTTTTGTCTTTTCTCACATTCCTGATGCGAGCGAGGCTCGAGACACTCCCTTGGTGTGAAACCTTTATCGTCCAGCTCCCTGACGAACACAGTGTCATGTAGAATCAAAGGGATCTTTCTGTTTCAATCACTTCCTGTTGTATTTATGACGCCTGTGGTTTGAAGGGACGCTGTGTGTGTTGGTGTGTGTGTGTGTGTGTGTGCGTGAGAACTAATTTCATTTGATAATAAAAGAAAAGACGTATTGATCACTCATCAGTAGTTTTCTTTTTTCTTCTTCAGGTCGTTTCTATCGACACAAACGTCCTCCAGCTTGATTTAACAGAGAAAGACAATAAATATAAAAATATCGACTTT